GGGATGAGAGTTAGTTTTCTAGTAAAATTAATTTCAAGGACTAAAAGTTCATAAGAAATATACTTAAGGTCAATTTAATTTAATAAAATATAACATTGCTATTAAAATATTAAAAGTTAATAAATTAAACCAAACTTATATAAATTTGAACGATAATGGACAAAATTGGGAAAATACAAAATTACTTGACTATTTGTTCAATTAAGACACTTCTCTCCCAAAGAATGGCAGATTGTACTTTTCAAAAAATATAGAAGGGTAGATGTACCAAAAAAAAAAAATAATAATAAAGAAGGGTAGGTTATGACCATTCGCCAAACAGTGCCTTTCCATTGACGCCATACATAGAGTACCCCACTAGTCATATTTCAAACATCATGGCGTCTAACGACAACCAATCGTTGTTTCACTCTCTTTCTCCGATTCCCAACTTGTCTTCTGCTGCCATTGAAGAGGTTCTGGAGCAGAGACCTGTGTCAATCCGATGGTGGCGCAGGCTGGTGGCGTGGGAGTCCAGGCTTCTATGGCTCCTCTCTACCTCTTCCATCATTGTTTCAATTTTCAATTACATGCTAAGTTTTATCACAATGATGTTCGTCGGCCACCTTGGCTCTGTTGAATTTGCGGGGGCATCTCTTGCTAACGTTGGAATTCAGGGTCTTGCTTATGGGATTATGGTATGTGGAAATAAATATATAACTGTTCTTTGTTTTTATTTATATAATGTTTGTTTGTCGTGAAGCTGACGTCCCAGTGTCAAAAAGTTGGGATTATTGAGATTACTAGCTAGGTCATGTAGAATGGACTGCAACTTTTAACCTTAAAACTTTGATTTGAGGTTACATTAACTTATCAAGAATTTAAATCCTCACAATAAGAAGTAACTAAGTTTTATAAGTAAAGAATTATTTACACATTAAATTTTTCATATCATATTTAAATAAAATTTTAATCATTTATCTTTTTCACCTAAAAATACTAACAATGGGCATAATATGTCAGATATATATATATATATATAAACACAGTAGAGTCGTATAACAAATCTCACATTTTCTTTCCTAAAACTAAAAATGCAGTTGGGGATGGCAAGCGCTGTACAGACAGTATGCGGGCAGGCATATGGGGCAAATAAATACTCAACAATGGGCATAATATGTCAGAGAGCTATCATCTTGCACTTGGGTGCAGCTGTGATCCTCACCTTTCTCTATTGGTACTCCAGTAGCTTTCTTAAACTAATAGGACAATCCGAAAGTATTGCCGAGCAAGCACAAGTGTTTGCCCGCGGATTGATCCCTCAAATTTATGCCTTCGCTCTAAGCTGCCCCATGCAGAGGTTCCTCCAGGCTCAGAACATTGTCAATCCACTAGCCTACATGTCTGTTGGGGTGTTTTTCCTCCATGTTCTTCTCTCATGGCTCGTTGTCTATGTCCTTGATTACGGCCTGTTCGGAGCTGCACTCACTCTGAGCTTCTCCTGGTGGTTGCTTGCCATTGTAAACGGCCTTTACATTGTTGTCAGCCCTTCTTGCAAAGAGACTTGGACCGGCCTCTCAACCAGAGCTTTCAGAGGGATCTGGCCTTACTTCAAGCTTACCATTGCCTCTGCAGTTATGCTCTGGTACTCGAGTTTATTCTTTTACAAACACACAGACGCTACATTCACACACTATATTCTTCCATGCAAAAAAATTTTCAATTAATTGAGCCTATATTCTTCCATGCAGTTTGGAGATTTGGTATTATCAAGGACTGGTTCTTATAGCAGGCCTTCTCCCAAACCCAACAATCTCATTAGATTCAATATCCATTTGGTATGTCAAACAAAAAAATAAAAACTGTCTTGTTATACATTTTAACTAGTCTTGATGGCAATGTAGGTTGTTTGTCAATTTTGCATAAGCCAAACAAAAAAAAAAAAAGAAGAGGAAGCTAAAGAATGCAAGCAACCTAAAGCCAAAACATTTTCTACAATAAAAGAAGAGATTAAGGAAAATTAGGACATCCTATTATTAAAAATGTAAGAATATCCAATAGTAGCTTAGAGAGGTGGGACATCATGTAGGCCCCACTTGCATCCCAACCATCAAATGACTATGATTAGGCATCCTAATTTTCACTTTTTTGATAAAAAAAAAAAGAAAAAATGAAAGACAACTATTTCAGACTATACCAAATATAAGGAACTACTTAGGTAGCAATTTCCCACGAGGAAGGCATTTCTGCCCAAAAGGCAATTTCCTTAAAGATACTTAGAAACCTATGCCAAGATTAGCCTAAGCCTGCCAAGATAGCTGCATTTCAAGTCCAGGTTCCTAGTGCATATATATAAAAATAACTGCATATGTCCAGTCAAAGTCTAACATAAAGCCAACAATTTCAGCATGAATTATTGGACTTGGGACATGCAATTTATGCTTGGCCTAAGCGCAGCAGCCAGTGTTCGGGTGAGTAATGAGCTAGGGGCAGGTCATGCAAAGGTGGCCAAATTTTCGGTAATAGTGGTGAATGCAACAAGCATTCTTATCAGTATGGCATTCACTGCAATAATTCTCATATTCAAAGTTGCACTAAGCAAGGCCTTCACAAGTGATTCGGAGGTTATTGAGGCAGTTTCCAACCTAAGTCCCCTGCTTGCTATCTCTGTTTTTCTAAATGGCATTCAGCCAATTCTATCAGGTATTGAGCATTTAAAAAAAGCTTTGCAGTTAAAGAACAAAAATCAAGTAAACTGTTCTGACTAATCCTTTGTGCTCTTCTGGGGATCCCTAAAGGTGTGGCCATTGGGAGCGGATGGCAAGCTGTTGTGGCTTATGTAAATCTGGCCACATACTATGTGATTGGTCTCCCAGTTGGGTGTGTTCTTGGCTTCAAAACCAGTTTAGGAGTAGCAGTAAGTTAATTCAATCTCCATCTTCATCCATCCTTTTATACATATAATTAAGTTTTTTGGTAAATAAAGTTGAAATTTTGGGTTGATAATGTACAGGGTATTTGGTTGGGGGTAATTACTGGGGTTCTTCTACAAACAGTTACTCTTATATTTCTGACTGCAAGAACAAATTGGTCTGCAGAGGTAAAAGAAAATAATTTGTAATTCAGTCTTACACTACATTTTCATTATTCAAATCTCTAAAATGTTTATATAGGTTGAAAAGGCTGCTGAAAGATTGAAGAGATCTTCTAATGAGGAAACACTAGACTTAATGCCAGGCGTATAAAGACGCTGCTACAGAATCCTAACATTTGCACAGGCATATTTTTTCTCTGCACATGCCAGCCATGTATTTGGAGTTGAAGTAACACTAAATAGAATAGAGCCTTGATATGTATACAGTGTACCTCTGTCAATGAGGGTCTCCAGGTCCAAGGTATATTTTATCTGAGCCTGAGGCACATTCCAGTTTCATCCCAATGACAAAGCACATAATTATCCTCTTCTCAGATACAATTGTCAATTATGATACCAACAAGAAATCTCAGTTTGGAAATAGTGAGGGAGGCCAGTCATGAGATCCTGCATGTACAAAAATTTAATTAAAATACATAACATTTTTATATTAAGATGCTGCAATTGAACTCAAAAGTATATAAAAAAAAAATGACAAAAACTTTATGTTTCAAAACAAGAAGTTTCAAACTATGCATTAAGCGCATAGGTTTTATCGATAATCACCACAGCAAATTATCAACTTACCTTCTTTCTCTCCTTGAGAAATATCTTCTACATATTCATTTGCAGCATCAGGATCATCTTCATCATAATCTTCATCACCAACATACCTGGAAATCCCATTAACCCCTCTCTCCAGGTATCCTACAATTTGGTTAGCTTCCTTCTCTTCATCTGCAGTTTTTGCCAAAGATAAGAGAATATTCTTTGCTTTCAGATCAGGTGGAACACCATGAGATTCCATTTCCTTATACCAAATAACAGCACTGCCAAAATCTTGGTTAATCCCATATGCATCCATGATAGTGGTGAAAATGGTTTGATTTGCTTTTATACCCCTTAGTTGCATTTCTTCATATATCCCAATCATCTTTTCAAGATTATTAACCCTAGCATACCCTTTCATCAACGTCCCACATGTGACAACATTGGGTTGAAGTCCATCTTGCCTCAGTTGTCTGAAGAATTTTTTGGCACCTTCCATGTCAGATGCATTCACATAAGCAGACAACATAGTTGTGTAAGAGCAAAATAGATCAGGGTTACATCTGCAAAGAAATAAAGGAATGCATATGTTTATCTCACTGCACAAGTTGAATTAGAGACAAAAAGCATACCACATTCCAACAAGTTTTTCTAACATGCAGTTTTTTTTTTTTTTTTTGTGGGCCAGAAACATCAGAGGTTCTAGCATGCAGTTCAGAGTGCAAAAAAAGAAAGAAAGAAAAAATCGAATATTACAACAAAGCTTAACACTAACTGTTTCAAGTGTAAAGGACTCAAAATATGGCAATGCATGCATGAAAAAAGGAAAAAAAGAAAAAAAAAAAGAAGAGTTGAAAAATGAGAGACCATCTCTGAATGATTTCTGACCATGAAATATAGAGTTTCATATCCAACAAACTAAAATAGAACACTTCAACACAGGCAAATGTAAACCACACATTTTGAAAATCCTTAATAGAAAATTTGATATTTGAGAACTTTACCTGTTTCTTCTCATGCTCTTGAATACAGTCCTAGCTTGTTCCACCATTCCAGAAATTGCAAATGCATCCAGCAGAATATTATAAGCTTTCTGGGTTGGCCTGCAAAAGACAGAAACTTGGTTTGGTACAAAGATAGCATAACATGCCAGGCAGTGGACTAAATTACATTAATCTTATGAACACTGTGAGTTATGAATCATTTCAACAAATTGAACTGCACACCTGACACCAGCATCCAGCATCTCTTCAAAAACAGCCAAAGCTTCCTCTTCTCTCCTAGCTTTCCCATAAGCATTAATTAGCAAGGCATAGCTGACAACATCAGGTTGGAGTCCAGCTCTTCGCATCTAAAATTATAGATTTATTCATATCTAATAGATTTTTAACTACTAAAAGATTAAATGAGAAAGAAACTAAGAAAGATCTAACATTTACAGAACTCAGGAACATTTGATAACCAGTATCCTGATGAGAGACTGGTCAGTATAATTAGTCTACTGCATGGTACATTTAATTGGTAATTCATATAACCAGCATAATTTAAAACCAGATAACAACGGGGCCAAAAATCAATTTTGAATTTTCTTTGCTTCAAGATGCATGTGAGCAACTCATGTCTGCATGGGCAAGTAATTGTAATACAAAAATTCTCTTGTCAAGGATAAAGATACTTCAAGAGTTGAATAAGAATTGAGTTGACAATTTACCACCTTTTCCTCTTTCCTCTAATTATCCAAAAATCCCCTTTGGAATTCTAGATTTTGGCATTTACCAATGGTTCAGCTATTCATTGGGACTAGGGAAAATTCAGACCTAGACCTGTGTTGCTTCCTTTTGAATTGGATCTTTAATGGGCCTGTTTGGGGTCTTTGCACATAAGGTGTGAACACAATTAGTTCTACTACACAATGAGTCTAACCTTTGTATGACTGTTCAATTTGCAAACCTGGCTGCTCGACTACTCTAGTTAGTCCTTGACATTAAGTTTTTTTATTATCAAAATTCATCTAGGAAATTGATATGGTTAATTGCAGCAAACCTCCTATGTTCATCCAACACCCTTTTTGCTCATACAAAGCCTTAAAGTTTACAGTGAAAAAAGACTATTCATTACTTCCAGCACCAATTTTCCCTCAAAGTTTACGATGAGACCAATGACTATTCCACCAGCAACCCTGCTCCCTCCACAAGTGAAAACCCAAACTATCAAGTTTCCTTAGTTCTAAACTTCTAATCTATCCAGTTGAGGCTGATTCATCAAACCTGTCCACTATCAAGGATAATAGTCAACCTACCATGAATGTAACTAATAGGAATTTTATCAGGTTTGATAAAACTTGCATAAACCTCCTAGTTTGGTTATCTAGAATAGGATAAATATAATAAGCATCAGAGCTCTGCCTTCAAACAAGTAGGATCCAACAGAACAATATCCAACAAACTTTAAAAAGGTAATGGGTTCTATATAGAGAGATAATAATGGTGCTGCAACATGAGTTCTGTAAAGCATGGGAAGTGATGAAATTATCACAATATTTGAACCAATTTAATTTCTTGCCATGCAACAGTATTAAGTTCATAGTTAAGGCTACAATTATGTAAGCATACAGAACTTTGCCACACCAATGCTACATAGCAAGATTTATACAAGCATTAACAATCACCAGAACTCTGTACCACATATTATGTTTTTTAACTTGCCTACACATGTGCATACCTAGATAGATAACTTAGTTCACATATATCCAGCATAAAGTGGACAAAGCAGGAATCAAATTGTGGATACAAAAAAGCATACAAGTACATAGGACGATGCTACAATTCATCCTAATAGGAAAGGAAAAAAATGGGGAAAAGACACAAGGATAAAATTATATCAGGAAAAAAAAAATGACAGATACCATGGTGGCTTTGGAATATGAATATTCATATTCCACTGAAATCCTGAAAAACCTTTCTTTAGTTATCTTGGAACAACAGGTTGAAGAACAATTGGTTCAACTAATGGTTTTGATCCCACATACTTTTCATTAGCCATATATAACTACAATTTGTAAAGGAGAAATATGTTTGATCAAATCAGAAATGATCTGGACACCTTACCTGTTCATAGATCTTTGAAACTTCCTTGTAATTACTTTCAAAAGACATTAGACTATTATAAGTGACAGTTGATTGCGGAACTCTTCTCTCAGTCATCAGTGCAAACAGTTCATGAGCTTTTCCATAGTTCCCAGCCTTCTTATACATATAGATCATCATGTGGAACATCTTTTGGTCTGGCTTTAAAGGTGATATTTTATCATCCAGAAGAGTAGCAAAAATTTCTTCGGCCTCCTTAAACTTGTTTCCCTGTCAAGGTGTAAAAGGCAAACACTAGCTGAAACAATGCGTTATGAAGTATGTTGCAAAGAAGAAGACTAGAAGCTGCACAAATATTCAAAAAAAATTTCAGTCCCATTTATTGCATATTTAAGAAGTACAGAGTTCAGTCTTCATATAGCATCCAACAGGTGGTACATTAATGATTTATTACAAATAATTTTGTTAGGTAAATAATAAAGAAAGTTAATAACTGCAAGGAAGTGAGTGATAAAAAAGATTACCTCAACAAATATTTTAAGTATTATTTGATATGTCAAAGCAGAAGGTTCAGGACCTGAAGATTGCATCCTTCTAAAGATGGCTTCAGCATTATTGTAACGGCCTCCTCTTCCATAAGCTTCCATGAGGGCAGTATGGGATACAACACATGGCACATGGCCTTTTTTATTCATAAAGGTCAAAATTCTCTCAGCCTTATTGAAATCCCCTTGCTTTCCATAAGCTGTAATAAGCATCAGCAAATCCATTTCATTGAAGTCCCACCAGTTCTGAAGCCGAAGCCATTCAAGAATCTAGAAGAGAAGTGAAAAATACATAGAGTAAGCAATATTGTTAAATAATATCATATGAAGCAAAGCAGCAATGAGATTAACATTTCAAAAGATTTTATCATTTAAAAAAGAAAAAAAGAAAGAGATGAACTTTTGTTTTCCAGAAGCAAACTGATAAAATTTCCCAAGAACCAAACCTGAATTAAATGATTTAACTGTATAAGATACTAATCATTTTACATGAAGAATATATAAAATGTTCAATCTGAACAATAACAGCTATGTAATTGGGTACTACCTTATCCAAGTACATTTGAAAACCAATCAAGAACCTTGGGCTGCAGCCAACAAGTGGCTAAACAACTCAAGATGAATGTCAAAAAAATAACCAGTTAGTTTTCTCAAATTCAGAGATATTAGATTACCTTCTTCAAAGGTTCCTTTAAATTGAATACATGACAAATTGATTTGGTGGGTTAAAGAGAACTCTAGGAAATTTATCTTCTCCTGTTAATTTGGTATCAACACTCAAAACATGCCAATGAACACCCCTTGGAGAGATAAAACACAAATTAACTTCAAAAATTTTCTCAATTATGTGAGAAAAAATGAGTACCCAAAAATACTGAAAAGAAGAAAGATTTGACTTTGATCCAAAAGCTCGACCTCAAATCTAGTGGTCCAGACTCTCTCGATTCTATTGTACCACTCTTTCAGCACTTGCCTTGCACATCTCTTATAGCTAGAATGATTCCCACTAAACATGATTGATTGATCACATATATTATTATAACAAGAAAATGGCTGTTTTTTTTCTTTTTTAGTACAAAAGAAAATGGTTGTTTACCTATACATACCTCACTAACGTGGTTCCATTTCTTCAGCTGTTTGAATCTAACCAAGGTGCCTAAAACCAGGTCTCTACGAATAGAATGGTCTTCAGTCTTTTTGCGTTTCAGAACCGTAAGTGCTGAACCTGTCTCCTCAATTTCCTCCATCATTCTCCACCAGTTTTTCTTATTTGCTTCATCAGCCGTGTTTTTGAATTCCACTTTCTTCCTCCTCTGCCAGGATTTTCTTGGAGCCAGCATACTCATGGAGACTACATCCATTCTCGTTGTGATTTTATTGTTACCATCAACCGGATTAACATTAATTTTCAGTGGGCTGAAATACAAAGAGAATGTCCATCAGTAAAACATCCTTTAAGAACCATATGAAGTATGAACACCATAATTCAAGGCATAAGGTTTTATCTGACTAGTACAGGCAAACTGAGTACTTTCGTAATGTCCGTCGTACATGGCATGTTTGTGCGCTGAACAAGAGAACCAAACATACAAATAAAAAATAACAGAAAAAGGACACCCATAAATCAAACTGCATAAGCTGCTCTTGAAAAATGATAAATGAACAAAAGACGTCGAATTTTCCACAAAAATTAACTGGACTCGGTATACAACTCAATTAAAAAACATGGCAGTTTTATGAGATAAACGAGAAGTACCAATGGGAACAGTTCATGTAGCAAAGAATCCCAAAATTCAATTCACAGGAGCAAGGAAACTAAATGAAATGGGTATTGATTAAAACAATAAAACAGACCTCAGAAAAGCAGAGCTCAAACTAGGGGATTGCTGAACCCCAAGAACGGCATATTTACTGGATAAGCAAGCTTTGAGGTGGCTCCTTTTTTCTGTGGCTGGGGCATTTGGTGGTGGGTAAGTGACTGGAGTCGTTGCGGAGGTGGTTTGAGACAAGGAGGCTCTAGTGGATGGGAGGAATGCACAAGGAATTGGGGGAAGACAGGAGCACAACACAGACGATATCTCCATTCAAAAACCTCAGCGTGTATCCGACAGAACGGGGAGGGTTTGGTCGGTGTTTCAGCTATGGAAGTCGGAGATTTTTAAGCTCAGGCGGATATTTACACTGAGTGGGTTACCGGCGACACCTGAATGCAGTCAGCGGTTACTGTTCTCATCTTTTCCATTCGCCCTGAAACGGAGAAAAGTTGGCAAAAACCCATTCTCTGCCCCCCAACTTATTGAGGTTGAGGGTTTTTGCCCTCCATCTTACAAGGTATGAATATTTGCCCTTCACCATAAGTAATTTGTGTATATGAGGAAAATATTAACATCCTCACGTCACCGTCTGTTTCCCAATTACACACGGTGCCACCTAGACACTGATTCTACGGGTGGCTGCTCACACATATATATATATATATGAAAAGGTTGACTACATAGGAACGATCTTTTTTATTGTTATTTTTATATAATTATTATATATTATTAAATAAATAGATATATTTAAAATCATAAGTTTTAAATAAATAAAAAGAGTTAATTATTTAAACAATACATAAGTTTGTCAAAAAAATTATACAAAAAGGTTGTTTGGTATTAACCTCTCAATATTCGGTAATCATATTAAATTTCGACTAATTCGGAATTAAGCCGCATCGGATCCCATTAGAGAGGAAGCTCCTCTAACGCCTGCTTCTTCATTCGCAAGACTCAAACCCAAGACCTTACTTAAGGGGAATCAAGCTCTTTCCACTCAAATTAATAGGTCGTTGGTAATACAAAAAGGTTGTTCCTAGTCATTTTCTCATATGAAAACAATTGGTTAACTCCCCATTTTGGTCCCTCTACTTTGACAAAAAACTCCTTTTTAGTCCCTCTACTTAAAAAGTCTCTTTTTGGTCTCTACAGTTTGAAATCCAACACTTTTTTAGTCTTTCCGTTAAGTTTTACACATGTGGCACGTTAGATGATGAAAATTTCAAAGTAAAGGGACCAAAAAGGGGATAAAATGGGCTAAAATAGGCCTAATTTGGTCTCTACTTTGGAAAAAAGCCCATTTTTAGGTCTCTCTTCCTTGAAATTTTCGTCATCTAAAGTCAAAGGTTAACAGGGGACTAAAAAGAGGTCGAATTTCAAACTTTAAGAATCAAAAGGGGGTTTTTTTAAGTAGAGAAACAAAAAAGAGTTTTTTACCAAAGTAGAGGGACAAAATTAGGGTTTTAACCAAAATAATTTAAGGATAATTTTTTTGAATATTTTTGAATATAATTTTTTATATTATTTAAATAATTAATTTTTTTAATTTTTTAAAATATGTGATATGTAATACATTAATAATATATAAAAATTATATAAAAAATAAAAAAATTCTTATATCACATATCCCATGTGAATCATATTTTAAAATCTACTTAAAAGTAATTAATGACATGGCACCTATTAATTGGCCATATAAGTAAACCATACTTTTTACACTATAATAGGTCTTAGTTATCTAGTTACATTTTAGGAAATAAAGTACTTAAATTACATGTTTACCCTTTGTTGAGGGATAAATTTGTATTGCATTAAAATTGACATGTGTAATGCCACATTAGCATAGCTCCACATGACACATTTTCCACACATCATACATGTTATTACTATTTTTTGGTGACCACTGTAGCAGAGTCAACATCACTACAGTCAATGTTCACCTGCTTCGTTGGGGAATAGCATGAACACAATCCGGCCCAGCATCTCTTCCTACACCTACATGGCAAGACTTGTTTCTACAACACGACTAGGTGTTTTTGACCATCATGATTCTTTCTACAACGATATTCACTGTTGCATCTTTCGACTCCTAGCAATGGACAAAGAGTCTACTTCGCTACATGGATGTGGCTCCCATCCATGGATAATAGGCTACATTTACACAGCCCCCAGTAATGGACAAAGGGTCAAATTTGTCGTCTTATTTAGTCTCTAACGATGGGTAAAAGGCTACACACCTCTACATACTTCATCTTACTAGCTTCAGAAGATGGACAAAGAGTCAGTGCAACTCGGTATGATTAGCATGAGGCTGGTAACAGTTGCAACCCTACAATTGAATGGGATGGCTACCTTCCAATGATAAAAAAAAAAAAAAAAAATCCACTAAGTAACGACTGACGGTCATTTGGTGGTCGCCCGTGCATGGTAGTGCAGTGCTCCATAGGCAACAACAACAAGAACCACCCTCTAATAATGCAGGTATGGTAAGAAGGGCTAACGTTTGTTAGTGGTATCACACCTTGCCATGGATGCAGCTGGCACCCCTTTCCATGGAGATAACTCCACCCCTCACTATCACATATTCATCGCTATGGCGAAGTCTAATTTAGTGAGATTTACCCTTTCATGACTTGGAAAATTAGTGGGATTGCTCTTCTAATTCCACATAATTCATGCTCCAACCATGGGCAAAGCTAGCCACTATTGTCCCTCAGGTTGTGGGGAAGCCATTCATGGCTAACCTTATGATAGTTATGTGGTCAACAATCCTACACATCATTACTGTTTCATATGAAGGGACACAATTGTTGGTCGTCGGTAATCCTAACTTATAACATATTCTTTCATGTTTCACGTGTTAGTAGGTATTCCTAACCAACGATGCTTGACTTGGGACAAGGATATCACAACACGCGTCAATATTGCTCACTCTCTATCTTGGTGCAATGCTAGCCATGTACAACAACAAGACACAAATACTCACCATGGCCATGGCACAAAAGAGCATAGCCATGATTATCATCATTGTCCCCTTTAATATATGATGGAGTATGCTTCTTTGCTACATAGATTTGTGCACTCAAATATTTGGACAAATACTCATTAATATTCTAACCTTTGGTTGTAGATGAACATAAGCCCATGAACCCAAGCTCATGGGAATTCTTCAAGATAAGCTATAGGAGTAGTGGCTTGGCAAGCATGGATGGATAAACATTGCCCATCTGGCGAAGTGAGGCATTCACACTAGTGAAGCTTGGTATTGGCAATGCTGCCCGACTTCGCCCAAAAAGGCCTAGTGGCAAAGACATGAAGGTGGACCTAATTCCCAAAACATTACCTTTTGATGCTAACCAAGAGCTTAAAATCTCGTTGAGAGATTAACCAAGGATGTTGTTTTAGTCTCCATCAGCAACTTGCAGCCATATTTAATGCAAAGGTGGCTGCACAAGTTACAGTGTGTTGGGAATTGCTAGAAAGCTTACTTTTACTTGGAGAATCTTCCAAAATCTTGCATAGACCTTGGGGAATCTACCAAAATCCTTGGAAGGCGATATTTTTTACAGCTACACTCAAGTACCAGCTCAAAAATGGAATTTCATATGGCTAGAGAAGTCACTAAAAACCTTCGCCAGAACCAGCAAACCTTTGCTAAAATCATTGGGTAATTCATAATATCATTGCCAAGAAGCTGTCAACAATGCCCAAAGCCTCTCAAAACTTGACAGCTCACACAAATCTACCCATTAGGTTACTATATAGCTCTGACTCATCAACAAAAAATTACAAAAATGCCACTGCACATATATATGTTTTTTCCTTCATTTTCAAAAAAGAAAAAAGAAAAAAAAGAGAAAACGAAAAATCATATAAGATTTACACAACTCTAGCTCCCCTCTCACGTCCCAGACTTCTCTCTTTCATATAACAATTTCTTTGCCTTCAACCTTTCGTGATATGCCCTAAAATGACCCAAAAACCACCTTTTTCTTCACATTATCTGCACTTCTAGCATTGTAGAATGATTTTCAAACTTGTAGAACATCTTGGCTGGGAAACACCATAGTGCAGTTTCAATTTTTGGGTAATTTTTCTTGAGCATCAGAGGATTGAGCCGAGTGGTTAGCATCAAGAACGGGACCAAGCCATCCATCTACAAGCCCCCAAACAATCATCCTTCCTTCTCCCATCATTACTTTCAAATTTATTCCTTTGTTCTTGTGGAAGCATCACTGGAGAAAGCATTGTATTTTGTATTTGCACCATGAGGGTTTCTTATTTGAAGGTGAGAGTGTTTAAAAGGGATAATAAAGGGCACATCTATTGCCACTATTATTATGTCGCAATACTCCATGTATAAATGTGCTTCTCAAGTTGTAATCTGTGATCCTTGGTGTATTTTCCCATCTTCAACACTCCCATTATAATGTGCACTTTCTTCCCATGCCTTTTGGTAGTTGTGTAGTCATTCATACATCTTGGTTTTCCATCGTCCTTCCTTTTAGCTCTTTCTCTCTCCCCTTCTCAGCTTGGTTGAAAGGTTTACATTTTTTAGGCTTCGTTGGAGAATTCACTATTGGTTAACATTGCTAAACAGAACGAGATGGCTCGTGACACGTAGATCTTTGCATGTGAAACGCGTGCTACCAAAAGGACCCTCCTTATCATTCATGAATGGCGCCTTAATGGGCCTCTACATCATCATTATCGGTGACTCATCATCCTACATCACCAGCACACCTCCTCAACACCCTTTCATCTGTATCTCTACCGTTCAATCTCTTTTTCTTTCCCAAATTCTTCATTCTCTTAGCTAAAAAATTAAAATTATTTTGTTTTGCTTGCACAAAAAACAAAAGAATTTGAACCAGCCATCGGGCTAATTGGTTCACAATCCAAGCTTAAGTGTTTGGACTTAAGTAGGTTGGGAGTTCTACTCCCACCTATTACTTGCAAAAATTCTCCCATCTACCTGTTGAGGGATGAATTTGCACTACTTTAAAATTAATGGCATGTACGGCTCCACATTAGCAAGGACACACGTGATCTATTCTTCTACCATCAGTCATGTTATTTTTGCTAATAATTGCAAGGAAGTTAGCTTCACCAAAAGCGATACTTAGCATCATTCTCTCATGCATCGCTAAGAACAACATTTGCCTGCTTTGCTAGAAATGGCATAGATACGTCTTGCCTTAACGACATTTTCTTATACATGACTAGACACGACTACGCTATCCTCACAATATGCCTGGATACTTTTGACAACCATGAATACTACTGCTATGCTCACCACCACAACTAACTCCCAACAATGGATGAAAGGCCTATCTTACTATAAACACATGGCTGGACACTTCTCAACAATCATGGTCTCCTACAGGGATGTTCATCGC